CGAGTCGGCGGCTTGGGCGGGCGCGGTAACTATCATGGCAACATCGAGCGCGGTAGACACGAGAATGCTACTAGTGATGCTGGTGGCGATGGTGACAACGACGATGGCAAGGCCAGTGATGACGCTGATGCCTATCATGTCGGCGACGATGACGGCGTCTTCGCGTCGGTGATGAAGGCTTTGGACAGAGTTCCATACGCGCGCGCGGCAGGCGCGCAAGACCCGCCCACAAGCTACTTGCCACGGATCGTGCCCATCCAGCACGTGCGCAAGGGCGTTCGAATGATTTCGACATGCGCCGTGCAAAGGTCCGCTTGGCAGAATGGCGTGCGCATGTTGAGCACACACATGCATATATTTATATATATATATATGTACACACACATCTACATATATATATATATATCACGTATAGAAAAAGACATCACAATATGTACAACACGTATATATATAAATGCTTGCGTTGCGCGGCCATGTTTTCTTACACGTTTTCGGGGCGCTGGATTTTGAAACCGTGACGACGCCAAAGCTTTTTAATGATTAATTCGCGCGCGCGACGTCGCGCGCGTGTGCATTCCGTCCCGTTTTTGCAAAAAGGGTTCTTGGGACAGCATGCGCGCAACTGCGTCCGAATCAAGTCGGCTTGCGCGCGCCAGGGGCCTGTTTTCTAACGTTTAATGAACATGTTTGGAGAAACGTTGGTTTCTGAAGAATTCGCAAGAGCGCAGGCGCAAGTTGTTTGGGAAAGTATTGTGGCGACGCCATGTGTTTTCTAGGTGCTTTCGGGACGCTCTATTTTGAAATCTTTGCGGGGCCCAAGGTTTTTTTGAAGGATCTGGCACGCGCGCGCGACGACGCGCGTGTGTGCACTTCGTCATCCTGCAACCTTTTGTTTTTCAAGTTATATAAGGAATCTGATGGTTCTTGATCAACTAATGTGTGCGCGTAGTTTTGTTTGCAGGGGATGATTGGGAGTATCGAGGTTAGCCCAGCTGCGATGGTATCGCTTCATATTGAGGGTGGGCGATGGGACAATATCGTATGCACATTGCAATACGAGAAGGTGGGCGGTCAAATTCATGGGGGTATAGATCCTAACATTTGATTGCAAAGGAAAATTTTCCGATGCTCGCAGTGAGTTGTCAACTCCACTGCGCGCGCAATCGTCCCACCCATCCGCCCGCAACTTGGATTGCAAAGCCCATGCGGCGGCGAGTGCGATGAGTGCTTGGCGTTGAGTGGTGCATCTCTGTGGCCGCGCTCGCCCGCGCATGCTCGCGCGCGCAGCGGCCAGCTAGTCCGGAGCGACCGGCGCGGGCGCGGTGACGCTGACCGCTGGGCACATCCTAGCGGGCACTTCAGTGCGAGTCGGTGACTTGGTCGGGCGCGGTATCATGGCGACGCCGACAACGGCAGACACGATGATGAGAGCACCGATGATGGTGACGATGGTGGCGATGACGACGGCAACGCCAGTGACGGCGCCGATGTTGATCATGCCCACCGGCAACGACGACGATGTTCTTGCATCGGCGATGAAGGTTTCGGAAAGAGTTCGACATGCGCGCGCGGCGGACGCGCGCGAGTGGCCCGCGCAGTATTATTTAACACGGATCGTTCCTTCCCCAGCACGCGCGCGAGGACGGCCAGATGAATTCGACATGCGGCGCGACAGGCCCGTTTGGCAGCATTCGATGACAATGGTGAAAAATCAGAAGTTCAAAAAAAATAGCAAAATCGCGCGCGCGCAGGTTTTTTTTTGAAGACTCATGTTGCGAAACCATGTTTTCTTAAAGGTTTTCGGCGCACGGGTTATTGATTCACCACGAACCCAGGGTTTTTTAACAGACTTTGGCGTGCGCTCGCGACGACGCGCGCGTGTGCACTTCGTGCATTTTTTTGCGGCATATTATTGGGACAGCTCGCGCGTAAGGGCGTTCGAACGATCTCGACATGCGCGCGCGGGAATCCCGCTTGATAGCATTGTGTGGACATGTTTTCGTAAAGGGTGTGCAGGAACGCTAGCGTGTTTTTTTGTTTTAAAAGAGTCCGCGTTGCGAGGCCATATGTTTTCATATGCTTTCATGGCAGTCGATTTTGAGTTCCTTGCGATATTTATCGTCGTGGGAAGATTTCGTTGTGCGCGCGACGCGGCGCGCGTGTACACTTCGCCCCCGCTTTTGCAAATGGTTTTCGGCGAGTGTGCGCCCATAGTGTTTTCTGCAGGGGGTGAGGGGGAGAAACGTTACTGGCCTGCTTGGGATGGTATGGGTTCCTATTTCGGACGGACGATGGGGCAGAGTCATTTGTAAGCTGCAATACGCAAGCGGGGGTCCGTTAATTGTCTTGCACATACAAGATGGTACCAGTACATAACGACCTATATGTATGTATATGTATATATATGTATATGTATATGTATATGTATATGTATATGTATATGTATATGTATATTTATATGTATATGTATATGTATATGTATATGTTTGTGTAGATGTATATGTATATGTATACGTATACGTATATGTATATGTATATGTATATGTATATGTTTGCGACTATGTAAATGTATATGTATATGTAGATGTATATGGGTATGGACATGCATATGACAATCTATACGTATCTGTATATGCATATGTACATGTATATGTGTATGTATGCGTATATGTGTATGTATATGTTTATGTATACGTATGTGTATTTGTATATGTATATGCATATGTATACGTATATGTATATGTATATGTATATGTACATGTATATGTATATTTATATGTATATGTACATGTAAATGCGTATGACCATGTATATGTTTTTGTTTATGTTTATGTGTCTGTATATGTATATGTATATGTATATATATATACATATATATATATGTAAATGTATATGTATATGTATATGTTTATGAACATGTATATTTATATGTATATGTATATGTATATGTATATGTATGTGTATATGTATGTGTATATGTTTATGTATATGTATATGTATATGTATATGTATATGTTTATGTATTTGTATATGTAGATGCATATGTATATGGCCATGCATATTTATATGTACATGTCTATCCATATGTAAATGCATATGTATATGTTTATGTACATGTATATGTATATGTATATGTATATGTACATGTATATGCATATGCATATGTATATGTATATGTGTATGTACTTGTAGATGTCTATGTGTATCTATATGTAACTGTATATGTATATGTACATGTATATGTATACATTTGTATATGTATATGTATGTGTATATGTATATGTATATGTATATGTATATGTATATGTATATGTATATGTATATGTTTATGTATATGTATATGTATACGTATATGTAGGTGCATATGTTTATGTACATGTATAGGTGGTTGTAGATTTAGTTGCTTATGTAGTTGTATATGTGTGTATGTATGTATGTATGTATGTATGTATGTATGTATGTATGTATGTATGTATGTATGTATGTTTGTATATGTATATGTATATATATATATCGTATCAATGATAATCTATCTTTGACCAGGCGGCGACGGGGCGGCGACGGGGCGGCGACGGCGGCCACATGGCGGCCAGAGCGGCCCGCAGGCCCAGGCGACGGGAGGCGACGGACAGCGACGAGGCGGTGACGACGGTCACATGGCGGCCAGAGCGGCCCGCAGGCCCAGGCGCCGGCGGCGACGGGCGGCGACGAGGCGGTGACGGCGGCGACAGGGGGGCCAGAGCGCCGCGCAGGCCCAGGCGACGGGCGGCGACGAGGCGGCGACGGCGGCTAGATAGCCGCCAGGCCACCGCGCAGGCCAAGTTTCACGGAAAACAAATCAAACAAATATGAACCCCTTTGTGCAAACACTGTTTGGGGAATAAGCAAAAACTTTCCTTGTATCGGGGCGCCGCCAGTGGCCCCAGCGCCGACCCCACAATTCCACACTGCTGAGGTTTCTTTTTATTCTTCAGCTTTCGATCCTCGGGCCAAGCAATCCAATGTTTTTTGTTTTGATTTTCCATTGCGGGGTCCACAGATGTCACGACTCATTCTCCAGGGCTGGTTCTTCCCAGCCCTCCCTTGGTTGTGTTTCGTTTTGAATCGAGCAGTAGGGTCTCCAGTCCTCCGTTCTCCGTCCGCCCTCTGTCCCCCTCTCGCCTGCCTGCACCTGCCTGCTTGCATGCCTCCTGCCTCGCTGTCCTGCCTGGCTGGTCTGTCGCCTGCCTTGCCGTCGTGCTTTCCCTGGGGGCTGCGAAATAAGACATGTCGCCACTTTTGAGGGCTGCTGGGGGTGCCAGCACAATGGTGTCCCACGCGGATCTACAGAAAAAACTCGCCATCCTTGGGGGGCTGCGAAGTGCGAAATGGTCGACGCTTTCGAGAGCTGCTGGGCGGTGGTGCAACACAGTGGTGCCCCACGCAGACCCCCAAAAACGTACCTGGGAGGCTGCGAAGTGTGAAGCTGACGACCATTTCGAGGACTGCTGGGGGAGCCCGCGCAGTGGGGACCCCACGAGGACCCAAACGGGACCTCGTCATCCTTGAGGGGCTGCGAAGTGCGACACTGACGACGCACGCTTTCGAGGGCTGCCGGGGGGGGGGGCCAGGGCGTGAATCTGTTGCCACTTTCGGGTCCGGCCACGGACGCTTCGCACGATGCAGATATCCGCCGTGCGCCGTCTGTTGCAGTGCTGCTGTCGCGCTATTGCTGGCACACCCTATATCATCCCTTGGTGCCGATGGGTCGGGTACGTCGCAGGGTAGTTCATCCCAGGTGTTTTTTTGACGGTCCCAGGGCCCAGCGAGGGCCCCATAGGTGGAAAACCACCGACAGCCTTCCGTCGTGTTTCTTTCGTTTCGCGACGCGAGCATGACGACTGGGAAGGCCGGGGGCCGAGGGCCACGCTTCGGAGGAAGAGGCAGTGCACGGAGCAGCGGCTCCGAGCAGCTCTCCCCCTCCTGGGGAGGCGGCGCCCTCTCCGGCCGAATCGCGGCAGGAGTGTGCTTGGCGATCGTCCTCGGGGTCACCGTGGGCCGCCGGAAGAACATGTGCTTCGCCTTCACCATGTGGGAGGGGTCTTCTATCACTAAGTCAAAACAGACGCCCAATCCCGAAGACGCGAGGGCCAACGCCGAACGCAAAACATACCCCGAGATCTTTGGCCGATCTTCGAACCCTCGGTGAATCCGCGATTTTGGGGTTCGGGATGTGTTGTTTCGTGGTCATTCTAGAACCCGGCGGAGGCCCTCCCAAGGTCTCGGGGCTCAAGAGGTGGGGGTCAACGCACACGGGCGTCAGCCGGAGCGCTGGACCTTGCAGGATCCTGCAGGGCCAGGGGCGCGCTGACCCGGGTATGGGTGCAGGATCCTGCCTCGGAAGCCAGGGGACGGCTGGCAAGCCCGTGGCTAAAACAGAGCTCCGGTAGATTGTTGTTTTTTCTTCCGGAAAGCAGCCCGTGTATTATGCAGTGCGTTGAGTTTTATTCCGGGAATCTGTCGCTTTCTTCCGGGAAGACCGTTTTAGCAGCCACGGATTTGCCAGCCCTCGCCCAGCTCTTGCAGGACCCAGCAAAGCCTGACTGACCCCGGTCTGGACTGGCCCGAGGCCCTTCCCCGTGGCCTACCCCAGGCCTGCCCCAAGGCCCTTTCCGTAGGCCTATCCCTGTTCCTCATTGGCGTATGCCCTTGCCCCCCACCAGAGCCGCCCGACAGCGGCCGGATCCAGGCCCCCCCCCCAAGCTAACTGCAAAGAATCAGTGCAGGGTGTACGTTTTTCGTCTCATCATGGGCGTTCTGTCGTCCATGTTGCAACATGCGTGGCAGGAATGGGCCGGGCCGCACATCCCACGCGAGAGGCGGAAGTGTCGCTCACGTCTCGGTGCCGCGCTCATTTTTCTAAGAATCGAGCTCCCGCTCGGGCGCGGCGCGCACTGGTCGCGCGCATGTTCGTCGACGCGCGAGCCGTCGAAGCTGTCGCTTTCGCCTCGGCGCCGCGCAGATCCTGCCAGGCGGTGGCCTTCCCGCCGCGACGCGGCGCACACCTGTCGCTCGCCAGTGCTGCGGCGCCCGCGCGAGTGGGCGATGTGTCAGCCTCGCCCAGGCGCCGTGCAGATCTTGCTTCGGGTGATGGCGTTCCCGCGCGGGTGTGGTCGTACCCCCACTCCCCTCCTCCCTGTGTGTCCCTTGGATCTGACCGTAGCCTGTTGGCTTAAGGCCGCCGGGTCGGCGGAGTTTCTCAGTACTGTACTGTGGTGTTCAGAGGCGTGCCTCGGAAAACTCTATGCCCATCCTTTGATAACTCGTTATCTTTCGCCTTCTTCGATGCCCGACGGAGACGATCTCAATGGTAGCCGGAGCGTGGATGAGAATGGGTCGGGACAGGCAACAGAGGGCGCGAGGACGTCCGAGGCACCACGACAGGCTGGGAGCCCATCGGCTGAGGCGGATGCAGCACACCAGCAAGGCGACGAAGCAGCAGAGGGCCGCTGGTGGAGCTCGTGGTGGCAAAGCTGGTCGGGGGCAGGCTGGGACTGGAGCATGTCCGACTGGGATGACAACAGTACCCACGGCTGGACTAAGGTGGGCTCGCAGCCCGTCAGGAGTAGGGATTTTTCGGCGCCTCCTTCCTTTCCCGGGCTAGATCACCTGGAGATCTTCACGGCCAACTTGCAGGCATGGTCCAAGAGAACAGGGGTTCTGCCAGAACACCAGGCCAGCAAGGTGCTCGAAGGCTTCGAGATAGATCTTCAGGGCAAGTGCAAGGGGATACGCCACCTTCTTGATGCAGAGGACGGCATAACGGAGTTGCTCAAGCACTTGTACCTTCTTAGGGGTGAAAAGCCAGGCGACAAGGAGCGAGAAGCTCACAACGAGGCGCTGTTCGATTACCTGATTCGTCCGACAGAGTCCCTCCCTCACTGCTTTCGTCATCAGGCGCGACAGCCAGATCGCTCAAGCAGAGAGGTTCGGTCTCGCGCTTCCAGACGCTGTGCAGGCACGCTACTACGAGGAGGGCGCGCAGCTGACCAAGCAGAACCGCATCAACCTACGGACCTTGATGGGCGGAGACAAGACAGTAGCAGCGGTTAGACGAGCGCTCTTGGAGCTTGACGTCTCAGAGAAGTCGGTTCTCCCTCAGAAGTCAGCGACGCCGGCGAAGAGTTTTCCAGCAGAGCTAGAGGGCTGGGACTCGGACTCGGAAGACGGCAACGAGACGCTCGACCTCTTTGAAGTGGAATTCCCCGAAGATGACGTGACGGTGTTTCTGGGAGCGCTGGGCGACAAAGACTTGTACGAAGATGAGGGATACCAGATCTTCATGGAGATGGCTTCGAAGCGAAGGCGGACCTGGAAGGAGTCTAGGCAAATGAAGGCGGCGAGAAAAGTTGACCGAGACTTTTTCGACCGTAAGCGAGGTGGCAAAGGTGGAGTCCCTCCGCCTCCAACTCCATCTCCCGGCTTCAAGCGCATCAGCAAGGACGACTTGAAGAAGAGAACGCGTTGCACAAATTGTGGAGATAAAGGTCACTGGCGAGAAGATTGCAAGAAGCCATACAGGTCGAAGGCGGACAGACTCAAGTCGGAGGGCAAGAGCTTCTACTTTCAAGTGGGATCGGCAGCGGGCTCGAGCGGAAGCACCTGGGCGATCTTCGCCGAGGAGCTGGCCGAGGCGATCGCGTTGGTGACGGCTAGCAGGTCAGACTCATTTTCGGGAGTGACGCTGAGGTCGATGGCAGACCAGGCTCTGGTAGACACGGCAGCGGCCCAGGCTTTGATAGGCGTCCCGGACCTCAAGCATCTCAAGTCGGCTTTCAAGGAGAAGGGCTTCAAGGTGCACGTTAGGTGCCAGGACGATCTTCCTTTCGCCAACGGCGTCGGAGGGCGCGTCCGCCCGGTCGCCAAAGCTTTCGTTCCAGTATCATTTCACGGCTGTGGGGTCTTGGAATTTCTCGTGTTGCCGCATCCTTGCCCTCCCTTGTTGCCAGCAGGGTTCCTGGACTTCATGTCGGCCAAGATCGACCTAGCGGCCAACCAGATGACGGTGGGAACGGACGACACCACCACGCTGGATATGACGAAGCTCCCATCAGGCCACCGCACGATCTGTCTGATCGGCAAGTCCCCGTCGGATTTCGTTCTCGACCCTGATCTGGCCCAGAAGTTTCCGTCTTTTCGGATCGGCTCGGAGAGCGCCTGGGCCATGAGCGTGTCGAGCGGCTCAGACAGGTGGGAGCGGGACGGCGACAAGCTGAGGCTGGTGTTCACCAAGCCCCGGCGTGCCATGCCAGTGAAGAAGGATCTGAGTGAGTCTCCCGTTCCGTCGAGCTTTCTGGAAGACGAGATGGTCACGACTTGCAGGTTCAAGAATCCCGACGGGATCTACGTCGAGCACATCTTCGAGGGCTCGGTATCCGACCTCGAGGACGATGCGAAGCTCATGCCGGACTACTGGGTCGGGCACGTGGAGTTTCAGGTGACGGCGCCGCCTGTGCAGGACAGTAGGGGCGGGCCGGGGCCGCCTGCATGCCAGCAGTCTCCTCCTCCTCTCTCGTCGTCCGAGTCGTCGTTCGAGTCGGGATCGATCGCAGCGGGACTGAAGTCAGGGACTGACGAGGGGTCTCGAGACCCCCTCTCCTCCGTAGCCCCTCTCGGCTCGAGCTCGGCCGATTCTTTCGTCCACGTATCGCCTCCCAGCTCGCAGCCGGCGGGTAGCCATGCCGGTGCAGGTTGTCAAGAAGGGCGCCAAGCCGGGTTCGAGGTCAGTGGGGAACCTGCTGGGGCGCACGCGCGCCTCGATCAGGAACGCAGGCGGGCTCGCTCTACCGACGCACTACGAGGAGCCGGCCGAGAGCGAGATCGAGGAGAACTGGGACGTCACGCCGGATCCCTGGAGGGACACGCAGCTGCAGCAGATCGACTACTCGGAGGTGGAGCTCAGCGAGGTCGAGAAGGGTCTGGTCAACGAGGGCGGGTTTATGTTCACGCCCGCGGAGACGGGCTGGCGCCTCTTCGCGCTGAAGCTGCTGGCAGTACTGACCTCGCGCGCTCAGTCGAGGCTGATCTCGGTGCTCGCCCCCTCGGTGATGCCGGCGATGGCCAGCAAGAAGATCTTCGCGACCGAGAACTGCCCGCGCCCCCTGGAGCACCGCAAGCGCCGGGCCAACCAGCATGCGGCCTGGATCGTCTGCCAGCTGTGCAACAAGCGTCTTTCGTGTAACTCCAAGACGGTCGAAGAGAAGCTCGAGGCCAAGATCAAGAAGGAGTGCGAGAAGACCGAGAAGTCACAGAAGGCCAAGAACGAGCAGGACATGATCAGGGAGGCGGTGGAGGCCTACCACGCGAAGCAGGAGCACGTGAAGCAGGAGACTCTCGACGAGCCGGGTGCCCAGGAGGTTCCACCTCATCATCCGACTTACCGCAGGGCCGTGCCCATCAGCTCTGCGTGCCCGGTGTTTCCCCGCAGCGAGGGGCATCCAGGAGTGCCGAACCACCTCTCTTGGAAGATGCCGCCGCCGGGCTACGTGGCGATCGACCTCGAGGGACCGGCCGCGACGAAGGCACCTCCGACGGCACGCAAGTCCTCTGGGGTCGCGCACCTGACGCGCGCCCAGGGCCAGAGCGGAATGCTGAGGAACCAGAACCCGACGGTCGAGAGTCACCTGATGGAGGCGCTCTTGCAGAACCAAGAGTCCAACCGCAAGGAGATTCTGGAGTACATGTTCGCACAGAGGCAGGAGTCGCAGGCGACGAGGGAGCAGTTCGAGCAGCTGATGAAGGTCTTGACGGCGAATTTTCGTTCGGGCGGATCGTCGGCTTCGGGATCGGAGGGGCCTCCGATCGAGCCAGCGCCCGTGGAGACGCTGGACGGCGAGTACGGCCCGAGGCGCCTCTCGTGAGCAGCTGCCCGGCTCAGGACAAGCTGGGCGGCGACCTGGTGGCGAGTGAGCCGCCACAGGCTCTTGATTCTGCTGACGCCGGGTCCTCCATATTCGAGGCTTCGACGAAGATCGAGGCCGAGTCTGCGCGCGCGATAGCAGGCTCCACGGACGCCAGGTCTGACCCGGGCT